CATGCTGGGGGCAGGATGGTCTGTGCTCCCACCCCAGAGCCCCCCCAGCTCTGTCCCCATCCCCACCTGCCAGCAGCCCTGGTGCTCCCACACTGAGCCCTCCCACCCCAAACTGGGGCACAGGAGACACTGCCCCCCAGAGACTCGAGAGGCAGAGAATCATTTTTGTTGGAAAAGAGCATCCATCCAACCACTAACCCAGCTCTCCCCAGTCAGTGCTGACCCGTGTCCCTCAGCACCACATCTACAGGGCTTGGAAACCCCTCCAGGGATGGGGATTCCACCCCCTCCCTGGGCAGCCTGGGCCAGGGTTTGAGACCCTTTCAGGGATGAAGTTTCTCCTAATATCCAATCTAAACCTCCCCTGGCACAACCTGAGGCCATTTCCTCTGGTCCCATCCCTTGTTCCTGGGGAGCAGAGCCCGACCCCCCTGGCTCCAACCTCCTCTCAGCAGCTGCAGAGCCAGCAGGTCTCCCCTCAGCTCCTTGTCTCCAGGCTGAACCCCCAGCTCCCTCAGCTGCTCCTGCTCACACTTGTGCTCCAGCCCCTTCCCCAGCCCCTTCCCCACCCTGAACCCCAAACAGCCCTGACCCCAAGTTCCCAGCCCAAGGCCCCATGGGCAGCTCAGACACCCTCCATGGCAATGGCTTTTTAAAAACTGAAGTCTTTATTAAAAGCTTTATCCAAATTTTGTAACAAAAGATACAAAAGGGCTGGAGATCCTCGTTCCTGGGACTAGTCTGACCAATCAAAACCTGACACTTACTGGGCTGATATAAAATCCATACAATCTGCTAAAAATGCAGGGAAAAAAAATTAAAAAACAAAAAAAAATTAGAAGTAACTGCTGCTCTGAAATTTCTTTTTAAAAACTCCTTTATAAGTTACTCAGTTTGCATTTTACAGGCCTAGTTCTTCTCCCCGTGGTTACAGCTGCTGTGCAACACAAGCAGCACCAGCAAGAACAGACCCAAGGGGCAGAGCAGCCCGGCTGGGCTGCAACACACACTGCAGCCCCTCTGCAGGAGGTACCTCCCCTCCCGGGTGCCCATGGCTCACCCAGAGCATCCCCCCGGGAATGCCACAAAGTGCCAGTGCTGCTGCACCCCTGGAGAACCCCGGGAACTGGAGGTTCCCCCCGGCACCCAGCGCTGAGCAGTTCCCATCCCTTCGGCTGCCACGGGGCCACTTGTCCCCTGAGGCCAACAGTTCTGCTGGCTCAGCACCTCCAGGGGCAGAGGAAGGGTGGGAATGGGTTGGAAACCCCCCAGTGGAGCTACACCCGGGTGAGTGTCCCCCCCACTTCTCCCCTTCCCACGCGCGCTGCTCCTGTGGAGACGAGTGGGAACTGGATTTCTGCTCAGTGCCCCTTCTCTCCCTGCTGAAAAAGCAAAAAAGAGGAGGATGTGGACGCCAGGCTGGCACTGAGGCAACTGTCCAGAGCTGGTACTGGCTCGCTGAAGGACCCTGAGAAGATTTGAGGCTAACACGGTCTCCTGGGGAACGCCGAGTTAGGAGCATCACAGTGATACTGGCTGAACATGTTCTGCACAGTGTGCCAGGGAGAAGGGCAGTACCCCCTCACCTGCTCCTCCCTAGCCCTTCCTCCAGGGCAGAGGCTGCTGCCAGGGTGAGGAGAAACCTGACCCTGGCCAAGCTCACAGCCAAGACTGACCTGGACATCCAAGTGGAAGGGATCTAAGTGGCCACCGGGAGAAATATTCCAGTTTATAAACAACAGAAGAACAGGGAAGCAAGTGCAGGGTTACTGCAAGGTGCAGCAGCAGAGCTTACCAGGTCTTGCAAGCAGCCAACCAGCCCCCCCCCAGCCCCCCCACTTCCCCAGCACTAAAGTATCTTCAAGCATCTCCAGAGATCACATCACCACGACTTCAGACCAGAGAGACCTCAGTGACCATTGGCTTGGGAGTCCACTTGGATGAACCAGATCTGCTCGAGCATCTTCAGAGAGCTGGTCTGAGGGCAGGCAGAGAGCAAACACCTTCTTTGCTGGCAGGCTGGAGCTCTGGGGTCCAGTGTGCAAGGCTGATTTCAGACACAAGAGATACCCTAGGAGGAAATTTCTCTTTTTTTTTTTTCCTCTCTCTCTTTTTGTTTGGTTGGGGGGGTTGGTTGGTTGGGTGTGTGTGTGTTTTTGTTTTGCAAACTGCTGCACGAACCAGAGAATGGGGAAAGCCTTTGGTCATGAGAAGACTTGGGAGAAAAGTGAGCCTTGTATGGAAGATTCCCCTGAATGCCTACAGGTTTTCTACATCTTAAAAAAATATATTGTGGAGGCTGCAGCCATACAAAGGGGGGAAGAGTGGGAGACAGGGATTGACAGTCTCACACAGACACAACGGGGAGGTTAAGACAAGCACAGTCATAGTCTGTAAAACTGATTGGCTCCCTTGGATCAGTCGTCCTCGTCGTCCTCTTCCTCTTCTGGGTCTTCCTCTCCTTCATCCTCTAGATTTCGTTTTCTCTTTTCCCCCCGTGGAAGGTCTGCAAAGAGAGTTAAGGGTGAAGTTCTGCTCAGATGGGGAACAGCAGCTGAAGGGTGGTTGGGTTCCCAGCCCCAGCAGGCACAACGTGCTGGGAACAGGCACAGCCTGGACTGGCACCAGTACAGAGCAGACACCCACCATGACCAGCTTCCCAGCACCCAGGGAAGGCTGGACCAGCACGAGACATGAACTCTTTTCTGGGCCCTCCAAGAATCATCCCACATTTCAACAGTTGCCAGAAAAGGGGCTTTTTTTATGTTGGGCACCCCCAAACCCACCAGAATTCAGTCACTTCTGAGGTCACAGCAGCCACTATAATCTGTGAACTCCATTCAGGTGTTTGTAGTTTGTCCTGAACAGGAGTCACCAAGGTCAGGTCTACCCTCCTCTCTGCTGCTGAGAGGAGAGGAACGTGTGTCCAGGAGCATTTCCTCATGGACACTGTAACACCAGCTCCTTGGACAGTTCCAGCTTCTCAGAACTGGTTTTCTAGGTAACCTGCCACTTTAATACCTGGCAGAATTACCCAGCTCAGATGGTACTGGGAGATACTGAAACCTGTCTCCCCACGACCCCAGTGTGACTGTTGGTTAGAACCATCACTTAGTCCTCAGGCACAAGCCAGAGCCTCAGCAGAAGCTTTAAGCAGCAACACAGCCCTTTCTGGCAGGGAAAAGCTGCCCTGAAGCTGGGGGAGCTCTACAAAACCAGCCAGTGTGACAGACTGTTGAGGCAGCTTCAAAAACAAGCCCTTGGCTTGTCAGGATTGGACTCACCATCCTCAGCTTCATCTTCTTCATCGTCCTCACCATCTTCCTCCTCATCTTCCTCCTGGAGTCAAAACAAGATGCCTTGTTGCAAGAACAACAATCCCACAAGGTGGAATCCCACAGCAACATCCTCCCTCACCCCTGCTCCAGGTGGCAGGTACAAGCCAAGAAGGGAGGAGCTGCTGGTTCCTAAAAAGCTTCTTGCACCCCTCCATCAAGGGGGTTCTATGGCTTTATCACCCAAAGCCATGGGAAGAACAAGGCCAAGTGACAGACAGGTCTGAACTGGCAAATTCTGAGGTTCACCAGTCAAAAGGACAATGGAAAAAGCCAGAGCACATGGGACATCTGGTCAGATGGGTCACCAGCTTAAGGGACAAACAAGCAGCAATGTGGTGCTGCAGGTTTGTATCATGCCAGAAAGCCTCACCTCATCATCTACTCCATCCTCCTCCTCTTCACCTTCCAGATCATCATCTTCATCTTCTTCATCATCAATGACTTCTTCATCCAAATCATCTTCCTCCTCTTCATCATCTTCTTCCTCACCTTCTAGCAGAAGAGGGAGGTGAGTGTTAACAGTTCACAGACACAGGTGTTATTTCCTTTCCCTGCAAGGGGCAGGAGATCACACAAGGGGGGCAGGACATGACACCACAAGGGGGGCAGGAGATCACACAAGGGGGGCAGGAGATGACACCACAAGGGGGGCAGGACATGACACCACAAGGGGGGCAGGAGATCACACCAGTAGCGC